GTTTCGGGGAGTAAATGCAGGTGAGGAAAAGGATTCTAGGGCCAACTATTAAGTACTAGAACCTCCTTGGGGAGGAAATACTCCTTAATGCTGGAAAGATAAGAAAACTCGCAAAAGCACCATTAGGTGCGAACTTTTGCAGATAAAGCAGACCCAGAGAATAGTGAGACTGAGAATAGAGGATGCTGCTAAAGAACTCCGTCAGCAAGAGGTACATCCCGTTCTATAGGGTGTCAACAGGAAGGGCCACTAGAGTGGCAAGATCTGAGACAGCCATGCTTGGGTTGGAGGCAGGTCAGAGATTGCACCTAACTCAAATTTTTCTTGATGGAATGTACGTTTCCTTTAGAAGATGCAGATTTTCACCAGAGGCCGCTTCCTCTCCTTATGTGTAGTTCATGCAGCTGGTGTGGTCTTATGTCAGGGTTTTGGTTAGCCAACCATTGAATATCGGAGACAGGCTCCCAATGAGTGGCCTTCAGTGTAAGGAAAGCTGCTCAGGTTTAGTCTGTTCTAGTACCCAAGTGTCTTGAGGGTCATCCAAAAGTGAAAGGGAGTGAAAAGCACAGACTCTAGAAAGGTTGATAGAAGTTGAGAGATTTGGAAAACAGGTGATACAGACACATTAGAAAATAGCTTCTACTGGTTAAATCAAGTAAGTATAGAGAGAAACCTGTGAACTAGTTAACAGAGGTAGGCTAGTTAATGCAGCAGACTTGAGCCTCACTTTCACATGAGCTGAGGATCAGTGTCAAAGACTAATAATGGTTAGGTTTCTTTGATACATCAGTGATTTTGAACTTTGGTCTCCCCCACCATAGAAAATTCATCCGAGATGGAGAGCTACTTTCCCCGTGTTCATGCTGAACTACATGTTTTCTTTCTGGCTAAGAACGTTTTTCCTATGAAGAGATCCATAAAGTGTCTGCAGTGTCTTCCTTTCTAGGTGTCTTTTCTGAGTTTATCCCATTCAGGGCAGAATTTGTTACCCACAAGAAGTTATTCCCCCGACTGTTACTTCACAGGTTTTGCCACTGACACCCACCACCCACAAAGGACCTAGCCCCCCATCAAGGAAGATGCCACACAAAAAAGCCCACTGGTGTTCAAAAGACCCTTTATTAAAATATTTTCCTTTGTACTTCTTAACTCTGCAAGAAAGAAAAAGCTCTATCAGTAAAAGGAGTTAAAAAAAAAAAAATCTCCCAATCCCACTTTCCATTTCTAGAACTTTCTAGCTTATCTCCATGAATACATTAGATGCTCCTCCCCCAGTTTTCACCGCTATTATAACCAAATGACACTGATGCAGAAGTCACAACTGGGCATTCCACTGCACCACTGTTGATGTCATCTATGATGTCATGAGGGTGGCGGCCATCAACATTGCAGCCCACAGACTTGGCAGTCCCCTGGATCTCTTTAATGGTTCTTGTAATTTAAAGGTGGGATCAGAGGCCGGCCCATGGCTCACTCGGTAGAGTGCGGTACTGATAACACCAAGGCCATGGGTTCGGATCCTATATAGGGATGGCCAGTTTGCTCACTGGCTGAGCGTGGTGCTGACAACACCAAGCCAAGAGTTGAGATCCCCTTACTGGTCATCTTTTTAAAAAAATAAATAAATAAAGGTGGTATCAGAGCAGCTCCCAGTCTCTCATAACCCTCAGATATGGGGGCAGATACTTTTGAATTTCACAGCAGGCAAGGAAGGAATGATATTACTGCTGCTTTAAAATTAAAAACTTAAAGAGTTCCATCTAGTTACGTAAACCATGAATGCAAAGTCCACATGGATCTCTTGCTGCCCTGATTAAAAATATCCAGCTCAAGATCTCATTCTTTCAAATCCAGGAAATAGTGCAGCACTCCCAATCTTGTGTCTTACTGAGTCTCATCTCAGTGAAAAGAATGTTAACCACTCATTGAAACACATGAAATTTCAGTTTTTGCATGTTGTCCTGCTCTTACCAGAGAGTTCGCTGGCTAAAGATCTGTGCCGCATTCTGTCGGGCAATGTTGACAATCTCTTCAAACGTGATATTTCCATTGTGTTTAACTGCGGGGCCAGGGGGGTGGAGGGGGGCAAAAGCTTTGTTACAATCTGAGGCCAGAGCAGCCCTCATAATGTTCCCCTTCACCTGTTTCTAGGTTGTTCCCATGCTTTCGGCACAGAATCATCCACATGAAGGACAACCCTGTTTCCTAAGCTGGGGTTAGTGTCAGCTCACCACTGGATTGCACCAGCCAACAGAGAACTGGTCAGGTGCAGTGGCAGGTGGCTAAGTGCGAAACAAAATCTTTATCTGACATGGAAGAGATGTTATGTTTTAAAGATGACAAACGAGCTGAACTTACCATGGTTAATTAAGCTGTCCAGCGTATTAGCAGCTTTGAGTAGTCTACTGAGTACACTTCACTGTTCTCAGTTACTTCCCCTGTCTACTGACCTTTCCCTCCTACATGCACTGCCAGTGAGACCTGCCCCACACAGGGACTATGGAAAGGCACATGGCAATGCCTGGTATAACAGCCTTAACCAAATCCCTATGCTAACCCTTTGTTTTGTTAAAGGGAAAACGCGGAGGCTGTGGGTGTATAACATCAATCACAAACTACTACTAGAATAAATCTGGGAAAAAGGCAACTCACTGTTTTTTTGTTTCTTTCTGTCTGTTGGTGGTTCCTTGAGGGCTCTGATGATCAAGGCAGAGGCAGAAGGTACCACCTAGATCTGCAGAAGAAATTCTTGATATGAACTAGCCCAACCCCAGCGAACAGCAATATTGCCACTGCAGGAGGACCACTAATGCCATGCACATTGGCCCTCAGAGACCAGACAGCCAGACACTGGGCTTACTGTATGTGCTGAAGTAATTTTCACAATCTGAAAACATGTTCCTAGCCTAGGATACATCATTTTAAGTAGTTTGCCAAATGTTACACAAGTGATAAGCCTTAATATTTGGACTGATGTCTTTCCCTAGCTAGGTCTATGATATGGACAAAGCCTTCCCACAAAGATAGCATTGCTCACAGCTGACCCCTGCCAGCAAAAAACCTATCCAGAAATCCCACAGGGTGGCTACCTCTACCCTCCTGCAAAAGAAGCACCAGAAATAAATACCTGGGCCTGTCTGTTCTGAATGGTCAGTTTCACCATAATCCTCAGACCTTT